CAAGAAACTGCTGTAGCCCACAGTTCCTTCCAGGTAAGTGGAAAACTAGCGATTGGAAAGAGACGGCATTCAGAAAACGAATATGGGAGGAAAGAAGGAGAGTCTGGGCAAACGTTGCCCTTCTCTCACAGTGGTGTTGAGCATAGACGTTCTAAATGACTAGAACGTACCCTGTGTTCCCTCTTTGCCCTATACCTATGGGGCCAAAATTTCGGCCTTTCCCCTTTCATACAGTCTGGCGAGGGCGGTGAACCTTCCCACTTCTTCTCACCCTTTCTTCTTCTATTCCTCCCACTGGCCTGTGAAACTCCCTTCTCAATCCTACTTGTTCAATGTTACTGACATGACTACAACAGGCCACAAGTGGTCACCACCACCACTCACGCTACCTTCCACCTTTGGAACTCCATGAAATGGTAGGGTGACTACACATGGGATGTATACAATGCTTAAGACCCCAACTCACTGAACATGCTTGTATTTTCCCCCTTCCACTTCACACCCCCCTTGCAGTCTAGAAACAAAACCTCCTGTGAACCTAACTGGCCTATCCTCCCGTGCTGCTAGGAACGTGGATCCAGCTTGAGTATCTACAGTCTTCACAGATCCTGATGAAACGAGAGTGCGCAGCTCATTCGGATTATATTGGCAGAAATGGAGCCACCTCTACCGTGCACACAGACAATCCACCCACCATGGTGCCCTGCAGAGAGGGCATCCCCCTTTTGAATGCCTTCTTCCACGAGGTAATGTATGCGAGCCTTCCTGAAAATTCCTGATAGTCAATCTTGCGGGAGAATTGCAACAGATTCCAATCTCAAACGGTCAAACCCGAAAGCGTGATTCCACTATCATTGCCCTCACAAAGACCGCCAACACCCAAACACATGTAACATGAGATCACTACACAGAATATCCCTTATCACTCAACCAGCTACGCACACAGCCACTCACACACTCAATCAACAGTCGATCAATCAATCAATCAACCAATCAATCAATCAATTGATCAATCAGCCAGTGATTGCCCAGAGACAATCCTCCCACAGAACGCTTCTTTGCAACGGTCTGAGTATTTCAAGAGAGACAGATATACATCTCGTCGCCAGATCCTGATCGATCATACGTTCCTGCAAACCTGGACAGTCCTTTGATTACGCAGCATGATCCCAGCTTCCTCAGTGCATGACCTTCGTCAACAGGCAGTTTATAATCTGATCGCAGGCAAAAGAGAAGGAGCCAATCGCTACAGCATTGAGCAACCCCATGGGAAGCTGAAGGCTTCACATCTGCCTGCACGTATCAAGAGCGCACAGCCAGCCAGCTGTAGTAGCTGTATGCCATCACACGTGCAAAACAAAGAAAACAGACAAACCACCACCCGCACGCACAGCCTCATTTTCAGAATAGCAGTGGAAGAAAACAACAGGAAGAAGGTTTTTATCGATTGAGCAAGTCCACTCACCAGATCAATCCGGATGCAATCAAAACGTACAAAGGGCCCGCCACACGAACCGTACAGTCAAAAAAGGACTCGCAAGATACCAGGCAGCGGGACATTCTGCAAAATGAGGACATTGGAAACAACCACATGCATGCAGGCTAAGAATCAATCACTCCAAATGTGCCCGTCTATCAACCGCTAAACACTAGTTTTAAGACGAGACACCTGATCAATACGACCTTACTTTCAGCCAGCTTGGCAACAACGATAACCCGCCATGGAAGCGCGCTGCACTAGCATAATGATACACCCAGTCACGCATAGCGATGAAAACGCGGCAATCTAGCAGTTTGACGTATGGGCTGAGAAAGCATGAAGCAAAAGGTAGGCACAAACACAAAAACATGACAAATCCCGAACTGGTCGAGTCATTACTACGTGTGAAAGTGAGCTGCCTGCCCACCCTTGCAACATGCAACTCATTAGCAAACGAAAAGGGAAAAAAAAAGAAAGAAACGGGGGGATCCTCAATCAGTTGCATCTCCCAAGACACTGCAGTGTTCAGAGATATCACACACAACCATCAAACAGGAAAAACGAAGACGGACACTGCCACTTCTTCCAATTTTTTTAAGTTTTTGCACACATTTTCAAGGTTTCAGCTCAAAATGCAAAATAGCAAACGAAAAGGGAAAAAAAAAAAAAAAAAAGACAGGGGGGATCTTCAATCAGTTGCATCTCCCAAGGCAGTGCAGTGCTCAGCAATATCACACAAACCATCAAACAGGAAAAACGAAAATGGAAACCGACACTTCTTCCCAATTTTTGGCTTTCTGCTAAAAATGCAAAATGGCTACGGAGTCTGGACCGCTCATGGCACAGATGCAATAACATGTTGCCTCGTGTAACAGTTTTGTCGCCGTTTGAGCTGCTACCGTCTTTCCCAGAATAGAATGCACAATCATTATAGCTGTCTTTGGGCAACTTTCAGTCTAGATACAGGAATGTACGAAGGCAAAGTAGATGAGCAGGGCGTCCCACCTCTCCCATGGGTGAAGAAAGCTTCTAGTGAGCTCTTGTTGCAATTGGGTTGACATTGCACGAACGACGATCGACAAGTGATGTGCATCTCCAGACTGAACTTCAACTTTGATTCCACAAAAGATTATCATTCAAATATACAGTGGTTTCAAATTCTGACAGCACTGTCGGAAGCAGTAGGCAAATCAGATGGAACTCACGACTCACAAGCAACACCTGACACAGTGTGCATTTGTGCATATACACATACTCTCATCCAGAGACTATCACTCAAACCAAGCAGCATCGATACATTTGTCAGAGTTCGTTGTTTCAAACATTTCTACATCAGAAGCTGGAATAGCACACATAACATAGCGATGTTCTCAAGTCCAAAATGTCAGAGAGGAGACGCAGCTCTACACAAGCGCAGAGGTTGCTAGCATGGTCTTATATCAGCTAGATGGGGCATCATCAACCTCTAATGCCTACAACTAGACGATCCGCCAGTGTGTTCTGTTACACGCCAAGGAAATATTTTCCTCTCCTTTCCAGTCCTAAACCACCAACACCTCCTTGCCAAAGGCAGATTACCAGAGGCGTTTCCTGCTTGTTTTGGCTGGCTGGGCAAGGTACTGTCGGTTTCAAGAATGTAGCACTTCATATGCACATTCTCAGAGTGCCAACAGCATAAAAACAGTTAGGGCAGGGAACTTTATATCCACAAAAGAAGGCCCGAGAAGATCTGCATGCACCCTAGGCAAGGACGACTCACTCGAATGTAGGAATGGTCGAAAATGAAAGAGAGAGAAAGAAAAGAGATCCCCAAAAGAGGGGTCAGTCAGTTCCTCTTCGCGCACTCCCACAAAACCTGCGGGTTCCCTTGCAGTGCTGCCTATTTACATAAACACAAGCAGAGTGTGATCATCATTGTTGTTTTCCCAATCAATCATGGTTTGCAGCTCATGATGGTCGCTGTGACTGATTTGCATTCCTCTTCGGCTTTGCCATGCCCATCTAAGCTTCATCCACGTATTGTTGCTTATGACTTCATCCACGTATTGTTCTTTATGACTTCATCCACGTATTGTACTTTATGACTTCATCCACGTATTGTTCTTTATGACTCTTCATCGTAGGTTTGGCCATCATCTCATCCAAAGTTCCAGGACTGCATCATCATCACAGTGTTCATTGTGAACCATGTGTTTCACGCCAGTTATGGCAGAAGAACGCAACCTTGTCTGATCTTCTTCTCGTATCTCTGATGCTCTTCCTTCAAATCTTTCTTCCTCCTCTCCCTCCTCCAGTCCTCCCCCTCCTCATCCTCATCATCATCATCATCATTCATTGTGAACCATGTTTTTCACGCCGGTTATGGCAGCACAATCCAACCTTGTCTGATATTCTTCTCCCATCTTGGACATTCTTCCTCCAAGTCTTTCTTCCTCCTCTCCGTCCTCCTCGTCGTCGTCGTCATCATCATCATCATCATCATTGATTGTGAACCATCTGTTTCCCGCTGGTTATGGAAGAACAATCCAAACTTCTCTGATCTTCTTCTCCC